GCTGGTACCAGTCATCGGCAAGTCCACTCAGCTCCACGTCCTCCTGTAGCACATCACTCCATCTCTTCTCTAGCCCGTGCTGCGCCCGCTTAGCCCCCTTGATCCGGCCGAACAAAAGCTGTTTCGGCATGTGGTGGCTGGGCATGCGGGCTACATGACCCAGCCATTGCAGCCTTCTCCGCCGGAGGAGCTCACCGATGGGACCTTGCCCAGATCTTTCAAGGATTTGTGAGCTCCTCACACAATCCAGTCTGGTTAAACCCAGGATGGATCGTAGGCAGGCCAGCCTAAATGTTTCTAACCGGCGAAGATGTTCCATTAGGGGGGTCCACGTTTCGCAAGCGTAGAGAAGGAAATGACCATGGCTGAGAAGACCTGAAGCTTAGTGCGGAGCGACAGACCAGGTAGCTTCCACACAGCGTTACGCAACCGATGAAAAGATATTGCTGCTCGACTGATTCGGAGTGAGACCTCTGCTGTTAAACTTGAGCCAGTCATAAGCACACTGCCCAGGTATGGGAAACTCTCCACTCTCTCCACAACTGCCCCATCACCGATTGGGAGTTGTGGGGATGGAGTGTCCGATGGTACAAAATACCCAGGCAGGTGCTTAGTTTTGGTGGGGCTGATGGTAAGGCCCCACCTCTTAGTGGCACGCTCCAGTCTCAGCAGCAGCGTCTCCAACTCCTCCTCTGAATGAGCAGCTATTACCAAATCATCAGCATACATAACGTGGTTGAGCAATAGGGAGCCATCCCTTGACCGCACCCCGGGCATCGATCAGCCTCCCATTATATCTGTACCATATGGAGACTCCCCTGGTACAGCTATTGAAGGCTTCACGAACTACGTGGTCAAAATAGATGTTAAATAATGTGGGAGCCAGAGGACATCCCTGTCGCACCCCAAGGTGTACAGGGAATGGCTCTGACTCCCGGCCACGTAGTTTTACCCGGGCCCGCTCACCATCATGAAGGTCCTTAATGATCGTGAGCAGAGGGTCAGGTATTCCAAAAGCACAAAGAACGACCCAGAGCCCAGGCCTACTGATGGTATCATAGGCCTTGACCAGGTCAATAAAGCAGAGATGTGGGTCTTGTTGGCATTCCCTACACCTCTGCTGTAGCAGACGGACAGAAAATATGGCATCTGTGCAGGACCGCCCTTTCCTGAAACCGCATTGGGGCTCCGCAAGCCTCTCCTCAGCGTGCCTGGCAAGGCGATGTTGAATAATCCTTGCCAGTACCTTGCCCGGCACACTGAAGAGTGAGATGCCCCTGTAGTTGTTACAGTCTGTGCGGTCCCCCTTCTTAAAAAGGGGGACCATCAGGGCATCCTTCCAATCCTGCGGAACCCGTCCAGTGGTCCAGACTGTTGTTATGATGTCATGTAGGGCAGTCTGTGCACAAACGCCACCCTCCCTCAGCATTTCGCTTGGGAGATCATCTCTGCCCGCTGCCTTTCCTGGTCTCAGACTCCGGATCGCCTTCAGTACTTCCTCAACAGATGGCACCTCAGCCAACCACTCACAGGGGGTGACTTCTTCCAATATTTGAGGCACCGCAGCCTCAGCATGGTCGTCCTCACTTTGTGCCACGATGTTTTCCTGGCTGAGGGATTTTCCCTCCCCCAGGACCTCACAGAAATGCTCAGCAAATCTGCAAACCTGTTCCTGGGGGCCGGAGATTGGATCACTGTTTTTTCCCCTAATGATGGTAATAGGTGTGGTGCTGCAGGTTACTTTTTTGATGGAGTTAAATAGAGATTTGTGATCACGGGCCACGGAGGCAGACTCCATCTCCTCAGCAACCCGCGACCACCACCCATCCTTGCAGCGCCTCACGGCTCTCCGAACCTTCGAGCGAAGGCTGCGGTACGCCTCCTCATTCTCTGACGTGGGATTCTGTAGCCGATGACAGTGGGCCTGTCGCTTTTTCTCAACCATCCTGAACACCTCCTCTGTCAGCCAGGGTCTCTGGGGAGGTCTGGACCGTGTACCCAAAGTAGCCATTGCAGCTGCATGAGTCACAGTCCTAAACCTCACCCATTTACCCTCGACATCAGGAGGAGTTGGGGACGATGCCAATCCCAGCCGCAAGCGATGATGAAATTCTCGCTTGCAACTTTCATCAGATAACTGAGACCAGGCCACTTTAGGTTGGAATGGGGTCCTGGGTGTACACCCACCACCGGAGTGGAAGAATGGCAGGCGCATCTTACAGATGACTAGTCGATGGTCAGAGGGCAGATCAGCTCCACGGTAGGTCCTGGTGTCAAGGACATGGGCTCGCATCCGCTGGTCCGTCACTATGTAGTCCAGCAGATGTTCTTGCTATGACCCGGCATGCATCCATGATGTTGTGTGGATGCGCCGATGTCGGAATAGCGTGTTGGTAATTACAAGCCCATGGGATGCACAAAAATCTAGCAGCCTCCTACCGTTGTTATTGAGCTGATCTGGCCCATGCCCTCCAATCACTCCAGACCAGGTGCCAGCATCATGACCAACTCGGGCATTGAAGTCACCCAACAAGATGACTCTATCCCGAGGGGCCACTTTAGCCAGCACCTGTGACAGGAGGTCATAGAAGGCATCTGACTCATCGGCTTTGCCTGCATCCCTCCACGGATGTTCATCTTCGGTGGGGGCATAAGTAACCATGACCACCATTCCTCGCCTCCGGTTGATGGGAAGGCGAGCCCAAAGTAGCCTGGGACTTACAGCTTCCCACACCTCACCGCCACGCTCCCACGCCGACTTCATTCTTTTGTTCAAAAGAAGAGCCACACCCTGTTGTTTGGCAGTCTGCTGCCCCGAGTAGAGGACTGTCCACCCCTCATGTCCACCCCCCTTTCAATTAATTACCACTAAACCACGAGTTAAACTGAATTCTCACACACACATATACACACACACACAATCGCACGGGCAGGACTCACAAGAACACAACTTAGACGGGGTGCCAAGAACCCCGGATGAATAAATTAATTTCCAAACAGTATTTAACTCAGCAAATGAGCAGCCAATACTATGGTAACACTGGCACATCACCGAATTCACTACATTCTGGATATTTACATTCAAGCTCCGAGTGTTGGTACAAGTGGAGGCAACGAGTTTCCCCCCCCCCCCCTCCCCCCGATGTTGTCAGCGAACAGAGAACGGAGCTAGCACGGAGTACTGGCTAGGGGCGCGCGAGGGTTCGCTTCCGCTCACGGGAAGTGCCCCTGCACTGCCGAGCACAGGAACACGCTTAGCCGTGGCGACTTAGCCGGGGGGGGAGCCGTGTTCATCCCGACGCTGCACACGCCGGCGGTGGCACGAGCGGCAGAACCCAACGTTGCGTTGAGGAATGCGAGCAACGGCTCGTCACAAAAAGTTTACCTTTTCCTCCCACTCCCCCACCACCACCAGTATATAATTGCAAGCATGCGTTGCTTATATCAGAACTGTGCTTAAACTGGACGGGTCTATATACAGCTACAACTGTTCATAGATTAATCACCAAAGCTTTATTCCAAAAAGCACGCTTTACTGACGATTTACGCAACTTAAACTGTTAAAAGTACTCGGGGTATGATCAAGGCAGATTCTCGCAGACGCATTAAATTCACTGGACAGCACTCTTTGAAACTATACTTTAGTGCTTACAGCAAGCAAGTAACCATTTCTGTGGATATTCTCCCCCACATTTTGTTCATTCATTCCAGCCACTAACCCTTGTTACAAGTGCCGCTTGATTAGCGCTTTCATTTCTGCGTGCTGATAATCTCATCAATGACAAAAAAATGTTAAAGTACCGAATTACCGCGTAGATTCTTCGTGCTCGTGTTTTTGTGGATGTAAGCGCGCGATGTTCGGCGTTTTTTTTGCCGCAGAAGCTCCCAGCAGGGGAGCGACACGATATTATATCCCAAATAACAAAGCGCGAAACAAACGTCGCAAAAGCACAGAATTATTTTGAAAACGTAAACTATCAAGGGGCGGGGGGAGCACGCATTAATTTCAGTTAATCCACGGCTCAACGCAAGCAGTTTATGAATGCGCCTATGCTAAAAAAAAGCCAGAGAAAAATCTTGAGGTTACAAAAAAAAAAACGTAAGGACGCACAAACCTTCGTCGACGCCACCTTAACATAAATTAACGCAAAAAAACGCAAGCATGAAAAAAATATAATAAATAAAGCTTTTCCCCTTTCTGGCAATAAAACTGGTGTTAAGATGTTCAAACATCTGTTTGTCTTACTGCCAGAAAGGGTAAAACCTAGTCTTATTTTTTCATGCTTTGATACTGGTGTAGCGATGTCGACGGGCTGTGTACACTTACCTGCAGGGGTAGTCAGGGTCCAGCAGGGGCAGTCGCTATATCCCTAGCCCAAAAGCAGGACGGGGCTGAGGGGTGTTCCAGAATCCCCCGGGACCCCTCCCAATAGGACGGGGCTAACGGGGTGTCCTGGGATCCCCTGGAGCACCCTTTGGAACTCTCTGGAAGGTGGGCGGAGCCAGGGCTGACGCACGGGTGCTGGGTATACAAGCCGGACCCCCGGAAGGGTCCGGGGCCAGTCCAAGACAGAAGCCAGAAGACCGGCTAGATAGGACCCTGGGAACCCCCGGCCCGACGCCCTTGTAAGGGTCGGGTCCGAGTGGGCCAGTGGTCGGAACCCGCACCCTGGCTAGGTCGGGTTACAGTAGCCTTCCTTAGGGCACTCACAGCCGTAGGACCCAGAGCTGTAAGTCCCGTGTCAGGGCACGTTAGCCTTGAGGCAGTACCTCCCCAGGCAGTGGTTAGAAGGGCCGCTGCCCTGAGTGAGTCTGGGCTGTACTGCCAAATATTTGTATTGAATAAAGTGTTGCCTCCAAGGTCCGTCTCCGACTTCCATAAAACCCACTACACTGGCATAAAGTTCCCTTTTTTTTACACAGCAGGCAAATCGTCAACTCTTGCTGGGGTTCCCAACTCGAGCGGCCGCGTGTTCCTAATGAAAGCAAAGCGCACGCACCGCTGAGTGGAGGTGGCGTCGGCAGGTTGGGCTGCGAGTAGCAGGCGTTGAGGGCCTGGTCCAGCGAGTCGAGCGCGTGGAACGTGGGGTGCGTGTACTGCTGCAGGAACAGGTTCCCGTACGCGTCGAACCACGGCACCGTCACGTCCACCGAAATCCCCTGAGGGATGGGCACCTGGGGAGGACGAAAAAAGGGCACGCGAGAGAAAAAGAAAAGGGGGCCTCGGGTCGTTCCGTCTCCCTCTCCGCTGTGACCGTTGTTTTTTTGGGAGGGTAATAGACAAAGTGGGTATTAACGAATATACATATTTTTTTTAATACCAGGTAAGGCCCACTGAGCTACGTAGTTCTTTTTCAGAGGAGACCTGGCCACAAATGAAAGCTCAACCAAGCGGCTTATGAAGTAGAAATTTACTGCAGCCAAAAGTCGAAACGCATGTTTCTGAACGCGTACAAAAATCCACGGGGAGACTTGCAAACTCCACATATGCAGCAGCCGTCAGGGTCGGGATCGAACCCTATGACCTCCTGTATACCAGGCGAGGTAGTTAACGTCTCTCCACCGCGAAGGCGGATAAAGAGGGAGTTTCACTGCAACCGAATGAAAGTGCAGTGGCGTCTGGGTCAGTACAGAGGCCGTGGTGTGTGGGGCATCTTTACCGGTGCCACGGGCACGACAACATGGCCGATCGGCGGCAGCACGGGGGCCGCGATGTTTTTCATGTTTAAGTTCTTAAACTTCTTGCGGATGAGCTTCAGCGCGGCGTCCACTTGCTTGTCCGTCCCTGCCAAACGAGAGTGGGGTTTGGAACGTCCGACACGGCCCAGCTGCGGCACACGTTCGCCCCTCGTTGCAGGTCGCCCGCACGAACGCCGTGGGTAGCCAACCGTTGAGCACGGTTGGCTACGTACAGCGCGAAACCAGTTTCAATGGGAGGTACACGCAAGCAACAGGCTGCCCCGATGAACCACAACATATATGCCCGCCAGTCCGCTTCGGAGCGGACATCAACAATCACCGGGACCGTCACGCGAAATGGGCAGGCCATTGTACGCCGGAGTCGTGGTCCAAATTTGGCAAATTTCTAAAAAGACGGATCCGCAACTTACTCGGTCGGGATTACACGCAGCAACGTCGTAGACACGAACAGGTGCTGGGTCACGTGGCACCCACAGGAAAACAGCCGGGGGGGTGGGGGGTGTGGGGGGGGCCTTTAAAGTGTTTGAGAGGGGGGTGTGACGCGAGGTTATTATCGCGTGCAAAGCGCTCTGCGATGCCCTGCCCGTACACCAATGGTGACCTTTCACAAACAAAATCCCCGATTCATATTCTTGGTTCTTTCGGTAAAGTCACGTTGAAGGGAAACAATCAAATAAATATATATAAAAAACAATAAAATTCTCACGACGTTTCGACTGCAACACAAGCAGGGAAATGCACAACAATGTAAAACATACATTCCTGTGTCGAGACTCTGCATTACAGGCCTATAACAAACGTGTACGTACATGTCAGCTTTAAATCAAAAAATAAAATCACGATTATTATGAAGTGCAACACGCAAACCATCGGCGGCGTAAACGATGCGTCGACTCGCAAGTTCGAAAACGCATTTGTACGCAATGCGCGCGTCGATTCGTGAGCGAGAATTGATTACTTTAAAACTCTTACACGTTGTACATAATCACCTTCAAGTGATCCCTGCAGCCACTGTAACAAGCAGGGAAAGGCAACAACAATGTAAAACATACATTCCTGTGTCGAGACTCTGCATTACAGGCCTATAACAAACGTGTACGTACACGACAGCTCACAGGTGCTTATTTATCCATCCTCGACTACTGTAGCGCAATTCTATACTGGCTGCCAAACTGACCAACATATGGCTGGGCAGGCCGAGATAGAGATACACCCCGTGGCTACTCGAGCCATTCCAAACCTATTAATAAAATCAAAGTAGCGCTAGGTGGTTAAGTGGCTCAGGGTCCTAATGCGGTGTCACGTCGCTCAAACACCGGTCAAAATCCTGGGCTCAAACCAGGGCCACTACACGTTATTAATCCGGGTTTTTCGAGTGTGCGAGCCCAGTCGTCCCAGCACAGTCACCCCAAAGACTACAAGTACAAGACCCATCACAATTCAGTTTCGTTTTGTCGCATCATTACACTTCATTCCAACTGTCAGGAGGAAAACTTGTCATTTGTACGCCGAAATTATTTTGCGCTGTACTTTAGCCAACCATCCAAAATCGGCAATTGTGGCGGATGGACAACAAACTAAAACACAAAACACGCGGCCACCGCAGTGTTCAATCTAGACGATTTTTTCAAGTGCACGGCTTCAGTGGTTTCCTAATATCGGAAGGAAGAGCGTTCCAGGCGGCCGGAGAAACTCGCAGTGAAAGCGCGCACGATGCGGCGACCCATCTTCGTCTGGCGTGCAACGAACACCATCTGTAAAGCAAACAGAACTCGGGCCCCCCGAGTGTGGATAACGGAGGCCCTGCTCGAGGTGACTTTCGAAGTTGCTTGCGGGGAGGTGACGAGGCCGAGGAGGTTAGCGCGCGAGCTTGCTTGTTGTTGCAGAGGCTTGCCGTTCAATCCCCGTGGCCGGCCTGGTTAATGAACACCGCGGGGTGCATCAAACCGTAAAAATATTCCAACCATCGTATGCTCAGTGGACATTAAAAGATGCCCCAGGGTCGTAGCCAAAAAAAGTGTAAGACCATGTGTACCGGAGCCAAAATTGTTTTTTGCCAAATTACTTGCGAATGATGGTGACCTGGCGTGGTGTTTGCCACACGTTCCCCTTTATACCCACACGTGTGCCATTCAAGCACCAAATATAAACCTTTTGCAATGAATCAAGTCTGCATCAACCACACACAGTACTTGTGGTGAACATGCAAACAAATCATGCTTCGATAATATATGGGCATTGTCTTTGAATCGGATTGGCCTACACCAGAGACAGCCTTTGTCTCTGGCGTTTGAACATCTTAACACCTGTTTTATTGCCAGAAAGGGTAAAAGCTACTATTATATTTCATGCTTTACCTTAGTTGGAAGGCATGAGTAGGCTATAATTGCATCTTCATGGTACGAGCACCATTACAAGTGATTGCAGCGACACTTCCGGTGATTTAAAAAAAAAAATCAGAGTAAAGCTTCAAACTTGTATCAGAACAGCCAGGACACAAACCTGTGTGTGTACAGATCTACAACACAAGGGACATTTGTATTGTGGATTGCATCTACCTTCGAAAAAAGGGATGGATGGCTGCGACCGGGTGGGAATAGGATCTGATATAAAAAAAAATATCCAGTCCGATCCGTTACCGTGTACCATGGAAGTCCCAACAATTCGGCGCGTCCAGACGGACAGAACAATCGGCACCTACCTTCTATATGGACGACCTGAAAATCAGACGTGAAGGCCAGTTGTATGATGTAGATCTTGGCTCCGGAGCCCTCCTTCAGATAGTTGATGAACTTCCCCTGCTTTCCAATGAGGCGGCCAACCAAAATCTGCAAGGAGGCAACGCAGGAGTTGTGGGTGAAGGGGCAGCCCCGCAATTACTAGCTCATGCCCCACGGCTCGCAGAGGGGCCCTCGACTATAACATGGGCAACAGTGGTTAGCATGCTGCACTACGGAACCTGGCGACACGAGTTCGATTCCCGGCCACTGCCAATAGCAGTGGCAACTAAAAAATATATATATATCGGTCCTGGCACAGATTTCAGTAGAACTCACGCCGACCAGCGTGGTGAAGTACGGTCAAACAACCCCCCGTGACCGACACAGCGTGGGGATCAACAAGGGCGGCTCTAATCTAAACTCATTTACTTTCATTGAAGTTTAAAAACTCGGTTCTCAATTGTTGAGTTAAATGTGTTGCTCCCTCACTCGGCCCGATTACCAATGAACGCACAAAAAAATCTATTGCATTAACTCTGGTTCTCGATTGGGTTTAGGGCAGCACAACGAGGCACACAGAGAAAGTTGTCACCCACAGAATAAAAAAAAACACATGGCTCAAGCTGGAAGCTTAACACCGTCAAAGTACCCAATTCCGCTTTGAGCACGCAAACACAAATCATCACACGCCGATATGGAATGGTACAACGCAAGCACCACCTGCCAACATCTCCTCTGTACAATTTCCTGACCGGCCCATGCACAGAGTGAATCCACAGAAAGTTCTGCTAAAATCATTTAGGAGCAAACATATATATGTAATGGCAGGGGAGTCGTCAGCCTACAGGGCGAATGGGCTAGTGGCCACGAGAGGTAATGACAGGGGTGCCCAGCTTGCAGTACGAAGGGACTGGTGGCGACGGGAATGATCGAGAACAGGAGCGTGGCTAGATGACGGAAGAGGACGGTGGAGTCTGACGGTGGAGCGAGCATCTAGAAAGCAGCGAGAAAGTTCTGGAAGGGGGGGGGGGGGGGCATGGCCTCGGTCCGTACATAAGGGAGATGCGCGGGAGACTTGGGGCCTGCTGTAGTTGGGACTCTGCCTGTTCGAGTGAACGTCTCTCATCGAATAAAGAAACCACCTCAAGACAAGTGTGTCAAGTCGTCATCACATATATAATTTTACACCCCTAGGTCAGTCCGCTACTTGATGAAGGTCTCCCCCCCCCCCCCCCCCCCCACCCCGTCACCGACTTGGCGAGTGCAGATTTGGTAAAAAGGGGAATCCGGAAGTGAAAGGCCGTGCTCGGGAGTGCGTGCGGCAGTCTGGCGCCAGCTATCGTAGAGTGCGTCATGCGCGTCGCTTCGGTTGTCTGCAGCGAGTACATTGTTTTTAAAAAAAACAGCGCGGCGCTACTGCGCCTGTCTAAAAAAAAAAAAAAAATGAACGGCAATGCGAGCCACCCACACGTTCCGAAATTCGGCCGCGAAAATGGGACACCAACCCCACCACCCCGGGACTTGCAGACGTCTCGGAACGGGCAACGGTTAAGACGTGTCGGAACGGGAGAGGGTTAAGATGTCACTCGCCGCCGACGTTCGCCGCGGCCTGGAATTGAACTCCGGGAGCGGGCGGGGGTTCAGAAAGCAGTACACAGCACACCATCCACACTTCCCGGGAAGGATAACACGACTACAAAATTAAGTTGCATTCAACAATACCGTCATCACAGATGCTTCCCCTCCCCCCCCCCCCGCAAATAAGCTCAATCGATGACGACAAGAACTGGGGAGACAAAGGCGGCCGGGCGTGGTGCTGGCCCACACCACCCTCGTGCGTCGCGCGAGCCTTCAAAAGGCGCCCGCTCATGGAGCACTCCCCCCCCCCTCCCCGGCCGCCAACAGTCCGTTAGCGGCCACGGAGGGGATCAGCGTTCGCGCGTGTTCACCTTTGACACGTGGAACTCCCAGATCACCATTTCACCGTCGTCACCGGAACCAGTGACACACGGGCAGTTGCCATCGCTCACAGCTTCTCCGTAAGAATCTGCATGGAGTACGGGAAGAGGTGCAACAGGGAGGGGAAAAAAAGGGGACAATATGATCACGTGTTGAACGTACAGCCGCGTTCTCCTATAAACGCAATAGTCGTGTTGAGGAAAAATCGCGTTATAATAAATAATATATCACGTAGGGTAAAGCGCAATCCGCGATAACTCGCTAGATGCGTACGCGGGCTGAACAGAGACTGAGGCACGTGTGGGTAGGATCTAGAAACATCCAGCAGCATCCCGCCTTGTGCGATGCTATGCCGAGGCAGCCGTGCGACCACTTATTCCTACTGGCGCGACGTAGTTCCGTTCACTCGACCGCGTTATATCCAATTTGCATCCGCTTTATAAAAAAGTGTTCCCTAAAACATTCATCGCATCAAATTCAATTCGCGTCATGAAAACAACACGCGGCGTCATAGAGGGAACAAACTGCACTTTGATTTCGCACAGCGGTGCTCGTCAATCCCCAAGTGAGGTTGACGAAAGTGCTACTCGTACGGAGAGAGATCAGGCCCCCCCACCCCTACCAGAGCAATGCGGAATTTCCTCCACAGCCTCAGGGTCGCCAATGATAAGAGAAAAAGCGAATTGCCAACTACCAAATCCATTTTCGCCAATTTGTCCCTTTCAATGGTAGGAAACATTGCGAGGCTGCGGTAGCTTCCGAAGTTCCTCCATCCAGCATCACGGGTGCCGACGATGATTAAGCGTTAGGATTAACGGTCGTGTCTTAAAAACAACAATGCATCAACAACATTCCCATGTTCATTACATTTTCCTTGCTGAGAATTCAAAAACAAAAAAAGTGTGCAGAGAAAATTTGCTGTCGTTAGCCGACGTCCGCGTGGCCGTCTAAGCACGACAGAACCCGCGGTACATTATTCACAACGATCGTCTATTCAACCAGGCGAGTGAGCATTAACCATCACAAAGAGCCATTCGATCAAATCGGGGCAAGTAAAAAAACACAATTGACTTCTCACCGAGCGAAGCCTCACCATCGAGCATCACCGTTGACTCGCTGTTCTCCGAACCCGTGCTCAATCCATTGGTCATGTTCTCCTCTGCGTCGACCGCGGCCTCTTTAGGGTCACCCCTCGTACAGACGTCCACCGGTAAAGCTGCCGGCACACGACCACCGCCGGCGGAGTTTTTATCGAGAAATTCCACCGCTACCTTCACCGCTTTCCTTTTCGGAGACTTCTCGGCGGTTCTGTCCTTCATGAGCCACTTGCCTTCGGGACAAGACAACGGAAAAAACTTTGAACCCGACTTTCCTTCGTTCGGCGAGTTTTCCAGCTCCTTCATGTTCACCCCAAAATTAAGATTTTTCCACAAGTCCCCGACGTACAAGGCGTTCTCGGATGTCGCCTCTCCTTCCGATGTTTCCTCTCCAACAGAACGTTTACCCGCAGGGAGATTCTCCACCGGGGTTGGCGTGAACGGGGCAGCTTCCGCCGAAAGATTGCTCTTCACAAGCGACTCCGCCTCCGCCGTCTTCTTGTCGCCCTTCCCCTTCGCGTCGCTCGGCGAAGCGCCGGCGGCCGGCTCGCGGCCACGAGCGCGCCTCCCCTCACTTGCGGCGTGGGCCGGGGGAGACTCCACCCCTCCGCGGGGCACAGCTTCAGCTACCGTGGCTTCCGCGGACGTGGGCATGAAGGGGGCCGCCTCCGCCGATAACCTGCTGCTCAGGACCGGCCGATTCTCCGACTCGTCGCTCCCTTCCAAGAGCACGTTCGCGAAAGACACCCTCGCATCCCGAATGAGTTTTTCCACAAAACCCGAAGCGAACCGCTCCTCGGGCGCCTTGCAGTCCGCGGCGTCGCCGCCGTTGTGCCGCGCCTCCTCGGCGCGGGTGGTTTTGTCCGGAGGCGAACTCTCCGGTTCTTCGCGGCACAAGGCTGGAATCTTCGCTTTCCTCTCGAAGCTGCCGGGGATTTCCAAATCACATTTGACACCTCCAGCCACCGCCACCGAATTCGTCCCTGGAGTCGGCTGCGAATCATTCGAGCGACTCGCCGTTTCAAGCGGAGAACAGCGTACCGCATGCGTATCCTTCAAATCAAGAGGCTCAGCTTCCTGAATAAAACGGTCGTCATTTTTATCATCCTTTCCAGATCCACCGAGGTAATTCTCTCTCGAGATTTTCCCTCCCATTTCCATCTTCAGACACAATGGGTCCACTTTGTCGCTTCCTTCGGGATCGTAGCGCTCGCCGCAATCGTTGGCTCGTCCCTCTTCGCCAACTTCGCAACTTTCGCCGCGCTCCAGAGCCTCGCCCTTGGGCGCCTTTCCATCGTCGCAGCCGCCCGTCGCCGCGCGGCCTGCTTTGCGCAACGCTGCCCCACCGCCAACACTTTCGTCTAAGAGCACGCCGTCAGAAACATTCCGCTCGCGTACCATTTTTCCGGCGGACGCCCTCGACCCGTTGGTGGATGCCGCGCCATCCGCAGCGGCGGCCTTCGCTTCACACTCCTTGCCGTTCTGGCAACGCAATTCCGATCGTTCGAGCGTTGGTGCCGATTCGCCCACGTCGCGGCTGACCAACGTGGCGCGAGGCGCTTTCACAATTGACGACGGGACATCACGACTGCAGATGGTCGCCACAGCGCTGGGTCTGCCAGCATTGGCGGCGACGGTGCTGTCCGCTGCGCCGACTCGCCGCGAACCGTGCGCCCGCGCAGGCTCCGAGGTTCTTCGAGCGTCTGCAATGACGTCGCGTTTGCCACCACTCGCATTTGTTGACGTCGACGCATCTCCTGCTTCGGGTGAAGCAGAGGAACCGCGGGCGTGAAGCGGTGTTAGACTAGCGATCGTTTCAACTGCAACTGGAGAGTCTAGCTTGGCAGGCGATTGGTTGACGACGGCCACTGCTTTAGGAACACTTCCAACTGCGTCCGGACCATTTCTTAAATCGGAACTCGACAAATCCTTACGCTCGTTGGATAACAACGCACCCGAATTGTTGACTAGACCAAGGGCATCGCCGATGTCCATTATGGACCTGTCCGTGGAAGCACCGGCCGACAGGGGGCTGATGGAGTCGGCAGCGGATGAAATGTCCGACGTGTCTGCTGTGGCGAAGGTCTCGCGCTCGCTCGTCGAATGCGGGGCTGCAAGTGGCTCAGCCAAGAGGTTTCTGTTCGACGACGCGGCGAGTGAACTCGGCGTGTCGTGCGCATCGCTCGAAGGCAGCGCATCGCACGATTTATCTTCGGGACGTTCCACGGGCGTTTCACGTTCAGAGAGACTCTCGCATGCACCCGCTGACAAGTCGGTAGCCGCGCGTGCCGCGACCGGGACCTCCGCGGTTTCACCAGGAGACGCCGTCGTTTCTCCCGCTCCACACGTGAGCCCGTCGCGTTTGTCCGGCAAAACGGCGCCGAATTTAGCGGACAAGACTCCATCCGCGTCGCCAACGGACGGGCCGACGCACGCCTCGGCCGACAGGCAGCCGGCCGATCCGGGAGGGTACGTGGCAGGATATTCACGAGGCCCGAGCGGGTCAACGTCCGGTGCGGCGCAGACATTGAGCTCGTCGTCAGGGTTTGCGCACACACGGGAGGAATCCGCGGGGGCTGCGACGCCGTCACACGACTGAGTCCTCTTGGTGGAGTTTCCCGTGCTCGTGGCCTTGCACGCCGCCTTCCTCCTCCAAGAGTACCAGGCCCACGCCGCCACCGCCGCCACCCCCGGCAGGGCATACGGGTAATACCTGTGCAGCGCCCTCCACAACATGGCCGCCGCTTTGTTCCAGCAAAAGAATCTGAACGCACAGAGAAAGACAAAAAAACCCACAACACTCATTTCAGACGTGTGTGTGTACACAGGGGGGGGGGGGGGGGTTCAAAGAGCAACCGTTGCAGCAGTCTCATGTCAAAGGTCAAAGTGCTTCTCATTACTTCAGCGTGCCAGTAATATTAAATAAAAAATCTCGTACAGGACCCTACCATCGAACCTCCCGGTGTCAACCTTCCACGCCGCCAATGGTCGAAAAATCGACCGAATCGGAACCGGGCCACGTGGCCGATGTAGCCCGACCCCTGCCACAAATGGCGCGCCGAAGATTCGCCGGTCTGCAACTAAAGTGCAGCTGCGAATCTCAAACCATCGACCGCATCGCAAACGCTCCACCGCTGCTGCAGTCTTCACTCCTTTAAAAGGAGGAACGGACGAGATCCACTCCGCTTCTCAACAGATAATTGAGCGGATAACAACATCACACCTGTCAACCCATACGGTTAACACATATTCTTGTACAGGGAAATTGAGTTTAAAAAAAGTTACATTTTTAGTGTTTCTCACCTTGTGATGGGACTTTGTAGGATGAACGTTGAGATTTATAAAGGGCAATGGGGGACCAATAAGTTCTGAATTGGCACTGACAAGGGGTTTACCCGGTATGCAACATCTAAAATTATATCTTTAATCTGCTGCTATTAATCCATATGTTAAGAAGACGTGTGCCAATCTTGTTTTTAACTCGCAGCCGATTTTGTCATGGCGGTGTCGGTTATGGGTTTGTGTAACCACGCTTCACCATGCTGGTCAATGGAAAACAGACGAATCGAGCCGAAGCACAGATCCGGTTCGGATATCACCGAGGAGAGCCGCAGGGGCGAGATGTTAACTACCTCGCCTGGTACGCAGGAGGTCATTGGTTCGATCCCGACCCCTGTATATTTGGAGTTTACATGTCTCTCTCTCTCTCTCCCCGTGGTCGTGTGGATTTTTCTCCAAGCTCTCCGGTTTTTCCCCCTCCACATTTTGAATCAACGTGCATTTTAGGGTATTTGGCTGCTATAAACGTTCCACGTGATAAGCCACTTTGTTGAGCTATCATTTGCGATAGCCAGGCCTCTTCTGAAAAATAGTTACATAGCTCAGTGGGCCGTACCTGGTAAAATAAAGACTTTTAGTTTATGCATAGCCGGGAAGCAAACTCGTGTCACCAGGTTAGTAGCGCAGGGCACCAACGACCGTTCCAACTGCTCCGTATTCATTTATTTTGGGAGACTCCGAAACACCACATTCCTACACTAGTTACCAAGTCTCTAACTTATAATGTCAATGCAACCGATTTTTTTTTACTCATAAATGTGTCAATTTAAATATTGCATTAACAGGAGATATTTAGCGGTCATCGAGGAGGAAGGGGAAGATCGTGTTTCTGTTGAGTAAGCCTCCTTCAGGTAACCAACAATTTTCCGCTGTGGTGATGGATTTTACATAACAGGGAGCCCTCTACTTATGAACGAGTTAGGTTGCAGGTCTGTTCGCAAGTCGATTTGTTCGTAAGTCCCAACTTTACAACTGTCGATTCCAAACGTTCTACAGCAAGTACACTAAACACGCTGAATGGCTTTAAAAGTTGTATAATCTCCTGTACATGCAGATACCACTGGTTCTTCATGTTCTGCAGATGCCACCGCCACCATCTATTGCGCGGCAGTTCAACTTACGACTCTCGGTCCGAACAGGCAAATGGACATACGGACCGGGTTTGTTCGTATCTCCGAAAGTTTGTAAGTCGAGGAGTCCCTGTACAACGGAAACCGAAAAAAAATAAACGCCTCTTATCTACGAGATGCCTATCTGGGCTGTGTGTGTAGGCCTGTCAGATACACGCTTGAAGCTACCGTTTAAAGAGAACAGTACAGTCAATAAAAACAGGGTATGAAAAAAATTGAGGTTTTTACCCTTTCTGGCATTAAAAACAGGTGTTAAGACGTTCAAACACCAAATAGACACCTTTTGGCGTTCTCTAGTCTGACACTGGTGAGACTAGGCCATTAAGAAGGCTGTCTCTGGCGTAGGCCAATCAGTTTCCAAGACAATGCCCACATTATCAGAGCATGTTTTTTGCATATTCATCACAAGTACGTGTGGTTAATGGGAACCTGATTCCTATTTGGTGTTTGAACATTTTAACAACCGTTTTATTGCCCGAAAGGGTAACACCTATTCTTATTTTTTCATACTTTGATACTGGCAAAAAAAGGTCCCAAATATAAACACTTTAAAGAGTACGTTCGCTCGTAACATCACTGCAGTGACGCTATTAAAAGTACTGCAGCACGCTGCCATCACGTGACCAGAGCGCCACAATGTGATAACATCAGCGAGCTTCAACGATCGCTTCTCCACACGAGGTCGGACTTTTTGTTGGACGAGCATCGAAGGTGCAGGCCCCGCAAGGTACGGGTGTACGCGCGCGCAGCCCGTTTATGTCAATCCACCGCTGGACGAGGGCCTCCCCACGCCGCGAGAATTGTGGGGGTCCTCTGTGCTTCACCGCTGCTACGATAAATGTCCACGCGGTAAACCACTTTCGTTGCACTAGCATTTGTGGCAAGGTCGCTTCTGAAAAAGAAGCTCGTAGCTCAGTGGGCTTCACCTGGAAAAATATATTTTCAGCGATTTGTTTACCTTTGCTATACTGTTGCACTCCTAACGTGTGTTCGTATTGTTTGAAGTTGTAACGTTCTGACCCCCGTGCCGCTGCTGGACATCTGTGAGTAAAGAGCTTCATAGCTCCTCGGATTCCTCCTCCAGTATAAACAAATACAGGTCGTCCCCGACTTACGATGGTCCGACTTACGATATTTAGATCTTACGATGGCGATAGCGACACGATAAAATTGTAAAATATTTTTAATTTCGTGCGGCAGGCAAACGCAGCAGCGTACGAGGTACGATACTGTAACTTTATCATCGCCATCCTCCTCTTCCGACAACTAAGTTAATGTAGCCATCAACAACCTAACATCGTTCAAGTATGCAGACGACGGACAGAAGCTTGGTGAGTACAGTAGAATATGATACGTTACGATACGTTCAATGCATGTATGATACGTAGCTTTAGCGATTTCATTTTAGGGTTACCACGATACATACGTTCAATGCATGTTTAAATTTTTTATAGCAGATAGGATTGTTTCCTGAAAAAACTTTCTATGCAATTCCAGTTCATATAGGTAGGCTAAGAATTTACCTTGTTTTTAGTTTAAATTTTACTGTGCAATACAGTATTGTAATTAACAAATACATGCAGTATATAGTTTATACAGTATGGTAATGTAAATTGCTCTGTTTTGCTAAATTATCACCATTCTTTAAGACTCCCGGGTAGGCTAGGCCATTTTCGACTTACGATATTTTCGACTTACAATGGGGTCGTCGTAACGCATCTCCATCGTAAGTGGGGGACTACCTATAGTCCGATTCTGGTTCATGAAGATTGGGAGCATAAAAGCGCAGTACATTGGATTTTGTTTCAGTGCCCTCCGCTGTCCACCACGTGAGCCCCACATCCTTCAACAAACTCTCACGTGCAGGACGATTCGGTCATTGGGGAAGCCACAATAAATAAAAGAGTCAATTTTTGGGAGCGACGGCTTCCTCCCAACAGATCGCGCGACATTTAAGACGTGGAGCCAAGAGACCTCTTCGCACGACATTCCTTCAGAAGGGTTGCAACTTGCTTCGTTGAAATATATATTTTTTTGTATTTATACAACAATACACAGAACGCACGGTCGTTATATGCAGGGAATGTGACCGAAATAGAATGGAGTAAACAAGCCAACTATCCCTGCAGGTTCGGCCGCTTCGAAAAATCACCGGGAATGCACAGACTTTGGTCGCATCTCGGAACATCAGGCAGGGTTAGAAGCCTGGCGAACGCTTGGACGCGTAATCACCAAGCCTTGCCGGGCGTTGTAGTAGGCATGGATCTGTGTGCAGTGGCCAGGAGATGGTAGTGCACTCCGGCTTGCCAGGTGTTGTAGTAGGCATGGATGTGTGTGCAGTGGCCAGGAGATGGTAGTGCACTCCGGCTTGACAGGCGTTGCAGTAGGCATGGATGTGTGTGCAGTGGCCAGGAGATGGTAGTGCACTCCGGCTTGACAGGCGTTGTAGTAGGCATGGATGTGTGTGAAGTGGCCAGGAGATGGTAGTGCACTCCGGCTTGCCAGGCGTTGTAGTAGGCATGGATCTGTGTGCAGTGGCCAGGAGATGGTAGTGCACTCCGGATTGCCAGGCGTTGTAGTAGGCATGGATCTGTGTGCAGTGGCCAGGAGATGGTAGTGCACTCCGGCTTGCCAGGTATTGTAGTAGGCATGGATGTGTGTGCAGTGGCCAGGAGATGGTAGTGCACTCCGGCTTGACAGGCGTTGCAGTAGGCATGGATGTGTGTGCAGTGGCCAGGAGATGGTAGTGCACTCCGGATTGCCAGGCGTTGTAGTAGGCATGGATGTGTGTGAAGTGGCCAGGAGATGGTAGTGCACTCCGGCTTACCAGGTGTTGTAGTAGGCATGGATCTGTGTGCAGTGGCCAGGAGATGGTAGTGCACTCCGGCTTGCCAGGTGTTGTAGTAGGCATGGATCTGTGTGCAGTGGCCAGGAGAAGGTAGTGCACTCCGGCTTGCCAGGTGTTGTAGTAGGCATGGATCTGTGTGCAGTGGCCAGGAGATGGTAGTGCACTCCGGCTTGCCAGGTGTTGTAGTAGGCAAGGATGTGTTTGCAGTGGCCAGGAGATGGTAGTGCTTGGTATCACACCCTCGCGTGCATGAGCTTCTCTCCAGGTGACTCGCAGTCTTTCGCCACTCATGAATGGGTGGATGCGGCCCAACATCCCAACGGTCTTTGCGAGGCTTTCCCGAGCGAATTCGTTGTTGTTATTATTATTAGAGAGAGCGGCACATCCAAAAATTCTGCCATAACTCTCGTCACATTAGCACGCTACAGTTTTAACTTCGTAAACATG